CTCTCTCTCTCTCTCTCTCTCTCTCTCTCTCTCTCTCTCTCTCTCTCACACAGTACTCTTCGTGTTTCCATGTATCGTCCTCGTCATTGCACATAAACGATCGATGCACGTGTCAGGTGTAGTTCGTCTTACGACCAGAGAGATAAAAGCCTTTTGTCCGGTACGACTCGACCTACGATCGAAAAGGTGAATCGTTTTATCGTAACTAATAGCACCGCTTGTTCCGATACTGTCCTCCGGTACGTAATTTTGTGTACTCGTGCAATTAATTATGATCCATCGGCTTCGCGGAAAATAGCATCAAGAAAATCCGATAGTACAAAGCCGATCGTTGAAAGAGAAGCCGTGGAAATGCGTTTCGAGTACCTATCGTTCAACTAAAAAAAATGTTTCAGACGGAATACTTTGATAACGGACTTTACGATACATTATATTACGCGTTACGAACTTCTTTATCGCATTCCAGGTGAAATCTGTCGCATTCGTCGCGATTCTCCTTATCGGTTCCCTTCGTTTTCTCTTTGTTCTTGTCTACCGCTCGCGCGTCTTTCGCGAACGAAACGTTTCGGACTAACTGGCGAACAAAAGGAAATAGTTTACGGGAACTACGATCATTTTCTGCGTGTCGAGCATCCGGGTCCTTATCGCGATAACTCGTTCTTTATTTGAATACTACGATACAAAGACGGATAACGAACGACGTGGATCAAGATGGATTACGTCTGTATGTACAAGAGCGGGTAACAATTAGGCACCGGTGTCGATGACTCGCGATAATGTCGCGTACGCTTTCGCTCATCCATCGTTGTAACATCCAAAAGCTAGGGAAAAGATTACGTCGATAAGTGAACCTCGGCAGAAATTCAGGAAATTAATTTTCCTTCGTTAGTTTCTCTCCTCCGTTTTATCCTTCTCGCGACCGTTTACTGGATTCTTTATTCTTCCTTTATTTTATCGATGGATTTGTATTCCAACGCTGTATACGATACAATAATATAACTTACGAACGTAAAGTCACCGCATCGAAACAACGAAACTACATTTTCCACGGTAGAGTATTTTAACAACACCTTTTATATTACCAGTAAATTTCGGCTAATCGAGAGACAAGATAATCCAACGATCATGCCTCGACCACGCGAAAAGCCTTTGATAAAGAAACGTAATCGTGTGTTTTTTCACCTCTTTCCTCCGAGAATAGGTCAGGATCATAAAGCAATAAAGAGCAGCGCGTCGACTCGATACGAACGGCTTTCGATTAGAACTGGGATTAAGTCGATTAATTCAATATTCGAATATATATACATACGTATTAGAATACCGTTACTCGAATATTATTCGAATATCGCAATATGTTATAGGATTCGAACACTTTCAATATTCGAACAAGAAAATATTAATAAAATTGTTGAGGTGCACCGGGTAGAGTAATTTTACACTCTCGGGATGCGCGATAATAAAAGGAACAACTCATTAGAATACTTTATAATGCACGTGTCTCGCAAACGAAATACGTCTGAAGTAAGTAACATAGAATAATTTGTTTGCAGTCTGCCCAGGGAAAATCGACGGGTCCAGTAAAGAGAATCTCTCCAAGAAAAGTTCCATCGTTGAAGTACCGTGAATCCAGATGATCTATTTTAATACCATGTCTCATCGTCAGCTCATTATCAGGCCATAAGAGAAACTTGCGACGAGTGGAATCGATGATTCTTGGAAAACGACGAAGAGTTTTAGTCGGACAGCTACACAACAGAGTTTTCTGTCAATTGAAACGGATAAATATCAATTTTATTCCTTATTATACTCCTTTATACTAAAACATTTATTGTACATTCGATACCTTTTCCGGTATTGTCGAATCACTCGAGTAACCGAACATAAAAATAGTCGCAGGTTTAGTTTTAAAATCAAAGTGATACAATAGAATTGGAAAGTTCGTTAAGCGATCGAACGTTGCGAGGTAATACGAACGTTCTGCGTGGACGGTGATTAGCGTTTCCCAACCGCGTCGATCCGCAGGAAACCGAGGAAACTGCACCGATGGATAAACGTGAAAATATTGGCCATAACTGTTAGCTCGAGTGCCGTTCAAGGCCTTCGATTAGCCACGTGTGTACACTGTCGCTTGTTACTATTTGCTCGAGTAAAATTTACGTCTTGCACGTACGCGACAAGCTTTCGAAGAAGTGTTGGAATTACACCTATACCCGGCGCGAACGTCACCGGTGATTAACGACGTTAATTTAACGTCCGACTAGTTTTTCTCGAGATTTTTCTCGCGGCAACGTTTCCAAGACAGTTTCAGTTACACGCGTTTATCATCGGGGTTAATAGACTCTAAAAGAGGCCAGAAGAAGTATCGTAGATAAAATAGCTGCTCGACCGTGTTTGATCGTCGGTCTAAACAGGTGCGATGATAATATTTGACGAAAGTAAAATTTAATCGTTCGAATGGTTTGGCGAGACGTTACGCGGTATCCTTGTTCGCGCGGCGAGCAGGCCGGGTCTCAGGCCGGAAATGTTAATCGCGCGATCCTGCCTTCGATTAAACAAATATTTCACGAACAATAAGACAGTAAACGTCGGTTACCTTGAGAACCGACTCGAGAATCGAGTTTTAGGTGTACAACTAGGAATTAATTCGGTCTCTTAGTATAGCAACGCGCTACCGAGTATGTTTAAAAAATTGTAGGCAGGAAGTACAACTAGTTCTTAATCGCTAGAATCCTTACGTCACGCGGCAAACGCTGTTCCCGCCATCAGCAGCCCGAACGCGTCGAACAATAGACGAAGGTTCTGTCAGAAACGCTCGCCTTTGTTCGCTTTCGAATGCATTCGTTAACACGCCCGCGCACCGCGACAATTCGCGGAAGCTTAACGTTGCCAAGCGAGTTCGATCGTTGACGCGTAAAAACGTGTTTCTCTCAAAATTACTCGATTCACATTTGCGGGAAGTCGAATTCACGTAACACCTACTGTTATTTAAAAATTACAAAATTTTTGGAAAATCGACTATTTTTGTGTCGTCGAAACCCTATTCGAAGGGAAACGATATTCCCTTAAGCTTGATTTCCTTTCTTTCTGTATTCGAGAAAACGCGATTCCGCGCAAGAATTCCCGGGTCTGATCTGGATTCTTTCGCGAGAAGAAGTTTCCGCTCGAAGATCTACCAATTACAAACTTTTGGAAAATCGACTATTTTTGTGTCGTCGAAACCCTATTCGAAGGGAAACGATATTCCCTTAAGCTTGATTTCCTCTTTTTCTGTATTCGAGAAAACGCGATTCCGCGCAAGAATCCCCGGGTCTGATCTGGATTCTTTCGCGAGAAGATGTTTCCGCTCGAAGATCTACCAATTTATCAGAAATCTACCAGTTTCAATTTTTCTGGGAAAATATCGATCGCGGCAGGACAAATGATAGGCGACGATTCGAAGGAGCTTTTGTCAAGTTCCGAGCGGTGGTGGACGAAGCGTGTGATTTTTCTCGCGCTGGGATGGCGTAAGAAACGATTCACCGTGACCGATGAAAGATTGCTCGACGATCGATCGAAATGGCGATGATCGGTCAATTGCGATCGATGATGGACAACCTGAGCGACGTTTACTATCTCGTGCAGCTGATCGTTCGTCCTGTATTCGTCTACTTACGGGTAGGATCGCGCGATTAACCTTTCCGTTGGCACGCGCGCGTACGTTGGCGATTAGGATAACGAGATCGGGAATTAGGATTCAGTAGGACTCGTTTATCATGTATCGTACGATAAATAGGGTCACGTGACTCTCGTATCCTCGGAACCCTTAACCCTTTGCGCTCGGGTGGCGCCTCTAGGGCGACATATGTAATTTAAAAGTGATTCTGTCAGAATACAACTAATTACTCATTGAAATAATAATACATTGAGTCGTGAACGTTCACAGATATTTCTCTTCGAGGTAAAGTTTTTGGTTTCACAGAAATTTATTATAAAAGTTTCGTGGATGTACCCCTTTCAGGATCTGATTCTGCACAAATTCGTCTGGCTGGTCGCGACGAACGACGAGGTCGACTACTCGGACTCGAAGCAACGGGGAATCGCCACCAGGAACATCACCGGCGACGTCTTAGCCTTCTCCGTTCTCTGCACCGTTCTCTTTCTCATCGCCATGCTCACGTCCAAGTGCGAGAAGGACGAAGAACGACCTTACGTCTCCGCAGCCATCGAAACGTGAGTGACGATCGTTCGTGTTTCATTTAAAAAAAAAAAGAACAAAAATAAAAATAAAATCCTCAAGTCCCTTGCACGAAACCCTTTAATCGCGATAACCCTTTCTCTTTGTTTCTTTTAATGCACGTTACTCGATTACGCCGAGATGGCTCGACCGACCGAACTAGTACCGGAACTAGTGCATTTACAGCAGAGATATTTGTCCATTTATGGAGACTTCGCCGTACTCGTATTCCCCTACACGGGGCAGAAAATCTAGCTTCGATTCGAAGATTCCCGTTCTTATCGTTTCGTTTACAGAGTATCCTCGGACGTCCAAGAAGGCACCCATCCCTATTACGTTCCCAGCGCAGCTTCCAGCTCGACGAACTGCTTCTACGCCTGCGGCGACCTGATCCGCGTCCCTGAACGTATCCCAACGAGGAGTCCCTCCGACGACAGCTTATCCAGGGTTCGCGTCGTACACCGCAAGCGTAGCAAAGGCATCCTGAAGAAGTCCATCTTCAGTCTAAGCTGCGCTTGGCCGCAAAATTCGCAGAGCACCCAAACCGAGAAGACGTTTCACAAAACCAGCCAAACTTGGCTGATCAGGCGAACCAGGAGCGGCCATATCTACGGGAAGTACCGCGTTTAGCCAGCGCAGTGATGGGCGAAAATCTGAAGTTTGCCGATATGTTTGTCTCCTTTCATCTTTTCTACATTTTCCATAGAAAGAAACGAGACAAACGCATTTATTCGAAACTTCAGAATATTCAGGCAAACTTCAGATTTATTCGAAGCCTAGAGTTTCGCCCATCCTGAGTCAACGGTGCCCGTCCAAACGGGACGCTACAACAACCCCCTTTTCCTTTGCTACCGATGTCGATCTTTAGTCTGAAATTACCGAAATTGCGCCCGTTGCTTCAAGGAATACTTGACGTGCAGCTGTTTCAGAATGTCCTAGGTAAACTTCCCGTCTCCCTCTCTCGCCTTTAATCTAGCCCCTATATAGCAAACGTTCGTTGTAACGTAAATGCAAGTTACCAGTGTTCTAAAACAATCAGTTCGCTCGTCCAAGGACGGAAGTCGCTTAGAAGCGTTCGTGTGATACGAAACGATTCCGCCGTTGTTTAGCATTCCAATCAATTAACGAGGCAGTCTAGCGTTATCACTCGCGCCTAATGAATCATTCCGCGAGATCGCTCGGAATCGATTACAACGCGAATTCCTCGCGCACGCGATCGCCAGCCTGTGCATCAATCGGTTACTTCATAGTCGTTCGAAGCCATCCTCGGGAGATTTCGCTCGTTAACGAGATCTCGGAGGTTCGAGCGACATTTTATTTGTATTTTCGAGCCGTTTACCGCTTTTTACGAGCTTTTATTTCGAATCGATCTTGTCGCCGCAGACTTTGTAATCGGTCTTTTGTTCGGGAGAATCATTTTTTAGAGGACGAACTATTTTGTACGTGCGCCTAACCCCCGATTCGGACGGAGAGCCGGTTTCACGGAACGCAGATGTCGAAATTTTGTATGAAAAAAAGAAAGATACCGGATCCGTAAACTGCGCGAACCGGTGGTTAGACGTATCGGGACCGATCGTCACCGAAGATCTTTGGTACGCGTTCTTTTTCCCCGTTTTTTACAGGCTGTTGTAATATTTTGTAGAGAAATAAAATCCTCGACATCGTTTGGCACGTCTCATCGAAATTCATTCCGACGTAGCATTAAAATTTCACGCCTCGCGCTGGACGTGTTATCGATAAATAAATAAAATGATCCAAACTCCGCGGGGAAATTTTATCTGGCGAATGTCGTAAACTTATTACGATCCGCGTACATACATCTACCGTCGTAAAAACTAGCGTGACTTTACGGCCGCGGACATTTTATTATATTGCGAAAGATCGGCCACGTATCGGGATCGATATCAATCAGCGGATTAGACGTAATTTAGCAACGAGGATAAGAGAAGTGTTTCGTTGTACTCCTCTTACGAAGGAAACAATGTTCCTTGCTGTCCTCAATGCAATCCTCCCTGTGCGATCTTAATACAGTAAAGATTAGAAGTTAAGTATCCTTAAATGCACGAGCTCGGGACTGAACTTGTGCGTTTATCGCGGACTTTGTAACACCGTATTCCTGACATTTTTCTGATTAACGCGTTGGCCGCCACGTCACCCAGACACGGGTGACAGAACTTTTCGTTAAGGAACTGAAATAAATCTGGTCACGATTCGTGAATTTTCGTTCAAAAATTCTATACTACGACAAATGCTAACTTATCTAATCTTCGACAGTCTCGAGACACAATTTTCACTTTGCAACAATTTTCATGAGTTTCAACTTGGCAGCCAACGCGTTAAAATGAGATCAAATACGATATATTTACCGTTCATCTTTTTTTTAGTTAGTGTTTAGCGACATATGATGCGTAATAAGTTGTTGCAAGTAAATATGTTGGGAATTAAGTCGTGTTTAGTGTTTTCGCTCCGTCCGCTTCTTACGTTTGCTGTCTTTGTCTATGTTTGAGGCTCCTCGGCAAATATCACAGAATATACGATCGTGTAAACAATGCTTGAACTCTTGGACCCCCCATGGTGTGTATACCCCCCAGTGGCGTGGATGGTTTCTGTGCAGTTACGGAGACGTTGCTGTACAAACAATAAGTACGAAAATAAGGAAATAGTTCGTTATATCAGACGTGGAAACGAACTCTGTGCCCTTAGATTCAATTATTTGTAACTCTAGGGAATCGTGAACGCTACGGTGGTCTGAAAAGAAACGTAAAACGCAGCAAATGATAAAAAGAGATTTTCGAGAGATTCTTTAATAATTCTCCCTCTCCCACGAAACAAGTTCAATTAAAAAAGCCACTGGTGAAGCTACCACTAAGTAACGATTATTAACGTACTTTCGTAAAATTACAAAAGAAAGATCGATCTTTTTCTTTACTCGACAAGTTTACCCTCCAGTTTACCCTCCGGTTTACCCTCCGGTTTACCCTCGAGTTTACGAACCAATATGGCGGCAACGAATCCTGCGCTCATCGAGCCGCAACGTCGCTATAGAAACGATGATCGCTCGGATACCAAAACAATTCGTTTCGCTGACGCTAGGTTCCGTTAGATTCTAACGAGTTCCTGACAGTTGTAGTTCTTCCCTTGGAACTTTTTTCTCGTCGCGAATTAGATAGCTATCGAAAGCTTACGCAGGAAGCGGGCGGCGGTGGCTATCGTAGGACGATGAACGTCAAAGACAGCAGCGACGAGGACGAATCGCACGATATTTCGGCGTTCGCCAAGTTCGACGAGACAATCGAAGTGCGTAACGCCGAGGAGATAAAGAGCCCGGTTAGCCGTAGGCCAGCGAGCTCGAGGAGGCCAAGGCAAACACCAAAAATGGAGAGTTTGAATTCCATGGGGATAAATTCCCCGCGAGAGAAGCTGAACTTTCGAAGGTAGTATCTACGAGGGTCGTTCGGAAAAGTAAGTTTAACGATGTTAGCGCTGGTCTTGGCGAAAAGGTACGACTACCGAATTTTAGAAACGTGTTCTCTCGTTTATTTTGATCGGTTCCGTGTGTCGTAGTCTCTGGTCGGTCGGATTGTCGCGCGTTTCGGTAACATTTTGTAATGGCGATTCCGTTAAAATTTGCGTCCAAGTGTGAACCGCGTGGTATAATAGGGTTTTTTTTCTTACCGCTAAAATACTTCACAGCCACAGAAATTTATCGACGATTATGTTCCGTTTACGGCGATAAATGCGCGAGCCTGCAGATGGTTACGCGTTGGCGAATGAACAACGTTCCTAAATGGCCGCGAAGAGTCGCACGATGAAGAGCGCGAACGACGACCAGCGGACGCAAAGTGGACGAAAATCATTACGCCTTTACGGAATTCAAAAGCTTGTTACTCGTTGTACGAAATGTATTGAAAGATGTGGCGATTACGTAGAAAAATAAAAAATTGTCTGAAAATTTTACAAACGACCTTGTTTCTGTGTTTTGACCACTCTTTCGCAACGTAATCAGACCGTTAAACTTACTTTCCGAACGACCCTCGTACATTAAGTCGAGACAAATGCTAATAGAAATGAAACTGTCGCGCATTAATGACTACGGTCTATCGTTGCGAAGTATCGAGATAATTTTGTTTGATCGGACTCTCCTAACGAAGCTCTTTAATCGCCAGATACTCCGACAATGACAATAGCATTGGAAAGTCATTGGGAATCAGCAGTGATCCCTCTGACAGCGAAGAAAGCGACGATGACGACATACAGGGGACGAATAACGCGCAGCCGATAGAAGTATACAATCCTAAGGACTTCGAGAACTTGGACGTGTCGATGGAAGTGAAGGAACTGTTCCAAAACATAATAAGGTGCGTAGGATAAAGATTAATTCATGGTGTCTCACAATTATTCTGATATAATCGTATGCTGGGAGTGTGTTCACTTGTTTATTGATCTTTATTTGTAACGATAAGGGATAGATAAGGGACAGGCAAGATAAGTAATACAAGTTTCCACTTGGCGTTCATTTATGGGGGCGGTGACGGTATCGCCATCTCGCGGTGAGAAGGACGAACTAAAATTCGTTGTTTGTTGGCGTTTATTAAAAAAAATAATAAACATATATAGACTTTAAACCTGTATTAGTCCTAAATATATAAAAGACAATACGAAAATAGAAATATTTACATCGTTACAATGTAATACTTAATATTAGAAGTCGTCTTAGCCTAAGTGTGTTTCATTGTACTAGATATGTTTTTGTTCCGAGTGTAGCATGTCTGTATATATTTCTGTGTTTTATTGTGTTGTTGGTGTCCTACTGTGATTCCGAGTGTCGCGTGTATTGTTATTTTTGATTCCTGTTAAATCTGCAAGTTATTTTCTTTTAGGAACTCTGTAATTATCCGAATCGTTGTTAGGTTAGATTCCTGTAAGAGTTCCTCTGCCTTGAAGGGAAAATTAACTAAACTTGTCCTCGATTAGTTCGAATTGCTGGCGTTAGATGGCGACACATAGTCGGTGGTGGTTTCCTTTATGCCGACATTTCAATATTTTCGCATAATCTACGCTTCTTACGAGTTCTACTTTATATTTTCACGTATTCTGTTTAACATTTACGTGGAAATAACGCTAAATTACGTAAATAATTCAATATGAAATCGTAGGTAATAGATCGATAAAGTGTCGCCATCTGTTAGAAGAATGCCCAAGCTGTTTGTTGAATAGTTTCTGCCTCTTCGTCTTAGATGGCGCCACTACTTTTTTTTTACCGACACCTTAATATTTTCTTAAAATCCTTT